GATAAAAATGCCAAATCCAGTCTAAACAACTGGCTGACTGTGCAACCACCCATAACAACAACAACAACAACTTTCCCTGGAGGTGTTGCGGCAGATAGCACCTGTGGTCTCTGGCAGGCCCAGGATTTCTGCCATCAGCTCCATTTGCTCCAGCAGAGTGTCTTGGAGCCTTTTCCCCACTGCCAAAAGCTATATCGGCATGAAATGTGCAGTCAGTTCCTAACTTGCCCCTGTTCCTCCTGATTTCCCTCTAAACCAGTGTTTCTCAATCTAGCGACTTTAAGATGGGTGGACTTCAACTCACAGAATTCCCCGTGCTGGCTGGGGAATCCTGGGAGTTCAAGTCCACCCCTCTTAGTCCCTGAGATTGAGAAGCACTGCTCTAAGCTGATGGGTGACCAACCCTAACGGATTTCACACTCCGGAGGCTGTCCTTGGAACTGGCAGAAAATAGGAGTTTAAGGCTGGTATAGTTAAGGTCTGTTTAACCCTGATTCCATCCTGGGCTGAGTATGAGAAAAAAGCCATGTAATGAAGAAAATCTTGTTAGATTTGATTTTTGGGGGTGGGGGGTGAAGGTTTGTTCTAGCCTTTTAAAACATCCCCTGGCCTCATAATGAAAGGAAAGAACATGAAGAGCTTTACATACCCTTGAACTCAATCCTTTGCTAAAGTCGTGTTATTATATTTTGGGGTATGTGCAAACTAGCCTAGATAATATAACATTTCTCTCACTTTGTGTTAGAGTTCCTTCTGCCTGTCCATCCTTCCTTCCTTCCTTCCTTCCTAAACAGATGAACAGCTTTTAAACCTGGGCCATTATAGGTGTTTGCTGCTTTTTTATCTATTACATCAAATGTGGACACTTAATGTCCACACAATACCATGAATTCTAATGTAATTGGAAAGTAATAGCAAAAATGTGATTTCTGTTTGGTGGACATGTGCAAAGAATATCTGATGTTTCAAACACAGTAGTTTCAAAATGAGGACCAATTCACAAGTCAGAAGCAGTTATTTACAGTATGTGCCTTTCTTTTCAACTCGGGCCAGTGGTCTCAGCCTGCAAGCAATATGGAAAGGAAAAATCCAGTAGAACCATAATTGGTCATGCGAGATGTGACATTGATAGGGAGATGTAACATATCCAGGACAGGGTCCCCAAATTTAAACTGCAACATTCTATTTTTTCTTACAATACTATTTCAAAAACAAAGCAGTAAAGGAAGCAGAGCACAAAGACATTTTATTTTAACATATTTATTTTAAAATTATGCTCCAACTTACATAGGGGTAAAAAGTTGCTAAAAGTAAGGTGCAAAATGAAAATACTGCTGTAAGTCTAACAGTTAATGTTGGGTGGTACAACTATAATATAATGTGTTATGATTAACATTCCTCCCCCCACAAGTCAAACTTATGAAACAGCATTAACAGCCAACCTTCTTGACTGAAGAGAACACAAGATGAAGATTCAAAAATTTATCAGCAAGGTATACAGAAGTTTAATAAAAATGCTAGCTACAATTAACACATACTCATCCATGCTGATTATCTGAAAAGTTCTTAATGATCTAACCTATAAACAAATTAACCAGGACAGAAGTATCCATGTAAGAGGGTGGCATTTACAGACCCATATATTAAAAGGGGCCAGAAACCCCCTTGGGCTAGCCCTATCTCAACCACATCCAGTGGTTATCTGGACACAGCCCTCAAAAAGGCGTCCTTATCCCATCAGGATAAAGTCACTCCCACGAAAGGCTACTGGGATCCTTCTGGGAAAGGTGATGCATGATTCTCACGATGAATGGAATAACCTGTATGGTCCCACAAATTCCACTACTCTTCTGTTGAATATGTGGAGGGTTTGTCTGAATCTTCTAGGTTCAATGAGAACTGGTTTGCTAAAAAATCTATTGTAAGAGACCTTTAAGCGATATACCTGCATTTGTTACTGGAATGTGTGAATTTTCCCCCTTGAGTTTAAGGTGATATTATTTTCTGTCCGCAGTTGCCAGCTGACTAATTATGCCACCCGCCAGAAAAACAGATTCTGTTCTAGACAGCATATGAAACTAAGGTCAGGTAACAAAGCTGGAAAGCCACCTTTTTTCCTTCATCACATGCCTTTCAAACAGTGCATGCTATAGATCCACCAGAGGGCACCATTTCATTAATGAAAAAAGGATTTAAATACAACTAGGTGACCCTGGGCCAGTCCCTCTCTCTCAGCCCTAGGAAGCAGGCAAGGGCAAACCACTTCTGAAATCTTGCCAAGAAAACTGCAGGGACTCATCCAGGCAGTCGCCAGGAGTCAACACTGACTCGAAGGGACCAAAAAAAAAAGGGATTGCTAGCTGGAACTGTGGTTTAGAATAGCAGTGCAGGATGAAGGCAAAGCCCTGTTTGTCCAGTGCTCTACTCCCATAGTGGTCAATCAAAAACTTTGGGAAGCTCACATGTGACCATGAGTGCCATAATATTCTCTTATCCATAATTCCTAAAAAAAAATTATTGAGGGGCACACTGCTTCTTATGCTAATATACAGTCCTCGCAGCAAGTAGCTATTGATAGATGTCTCTTCCATGATTTTGTCTAATGTTCCTTTGTAAGCCTACTCTTTTTGTGCTGTATTCAATGATGAGATCTGATCAAGAAGCGCTAGAACCAATTGTGCTGCATTCAAATTATAGCAGGAGTATTATATGGTGCATATGGTACTATGGCGATGCTATTAGAAAAAGCATGATGCCTCTTGAATCTACAGCAACATTTATTTATTTACTTGTAGCATTCATTCATTCATTCATTCATTCATTCATTTATCTGAGACAAAATTCTAAGAAACTATTGGAGCTGCTTAGGAGGTATTTTATTCAAAGTGGACATTAGCTGCATCTTGTCACAGTCTCTGTCTCTGGAAAGCTGAGGTTTTTGGAGATCTGTATTATCTCCAGAAACCAAATTCTTACCAAGCTATAGTTGCTTTCATAAGTTAATAAAGCAGTGAAAACTAAACAAATAAAAAAATCAAGGCCAATCTTGTGACAGAAGACATTCATCCATTTATTATGGTATACAACCAATCAATATGAATCATCTTCCACAGGAGCCTTGCAATCCTGCTTGAGCTCTCCAGGATGGGTAAGTCTGAGGAATAGGAAGAAATAATAGATTTTGAACACCCCCTCAAGGCCTTCTCTTGCTATGCCTGATGGGTGCCAATCCCAGAGCTGACAACTCTGGCATAAGACTGAGAGGACGTAAGTTTGGAGTTGGGAGAGGCACCTTAAGCTGCCTCTCGAAACTATATGATCACTTTCACTCCAACAGACTTTGGAGGGCCAGAGCAGGCAGGGAACACTCTGAGTGCTCTCTCTCCAGCTGACCAATTGGGGTACAGAACATGCCATTCCCTTAGTATCCACCCCAAATTACTGCAGACCTTCAGCAATATATATCCATTCACTCCCCCATGCAAAGAAGAAAAATGAAATTTTTAGTTCTCCCCCACCCATTTTCAGCACATTAGTTATGAACGTTTCTCTACCGCCAATTCCCAAGACTCCAGATGATTTGATTATGTGCCATCAATTTAGTGTCAATTCTTAGCAACCACATATTTTTTTCTGTGATGATCTGTGCCTAACCTGGTCTTTCAGGTGTCCCATCATCACTATAGCTGAGTCCATCTACCTTGCTGCTGGCCTTCCTCTTCTTTCTCCTTCCATCTTTCCCAGCATCAGAGCCTTCTCTAGAGATCTAGGTCTTTGCATAATGTGTCCTAAGTATGATAATTTGAGTCTCTCATTTGTGCATCGAATGAGAACTCTGGGTTGATTTGTTTGATGATCCATTTGTTTGGGAGTTTTTTGGCTGTCTATGGTATTCTCAGGAGTCTTTTCCAACACTAAGGTTCAAAAGCATCAATACTCTTTCTATCTGACTTCTTCAAAGTCCGTTTTTTGCTTCCATAGAGCATTACAGGGAATCCCATGGCTTGCACGATTCTGATCTTTGTAGATTAGACACATCACGGCATTGAAGATCTTTTTCAAGGCCTTCATGGCTACTCTACCAAGTGCTAGTCTGCAGTGTATTTCTTGACTGTTTATTCCTTTACTACTGATGATTGATCCTAAAGGGCAGAAGCTATCTACCACTTCAGTATCTTCATTGTCAACCAGATGATTTAAAAACTTAAAAATCAACATGTATGTATGTATGTGTATATCAGGAACCAAAGATAACAACAGATTACCACCCAAAACCAAACATCCATCACCATCAGTAATCAAGTCACCAAAAGCCAGCCAGTAAGGAGGGTATCTGACACATCTCTGAGGATAAAGGGTTCTGAGTAGGGGGCCTGCTACAGATGCTTACCTTCTGGTCCATCCTTTGTTGTCTTGTGGGAGCAGGACTGTAACCAGCCCCTTTCTTCTAAAATATATGGGCTGGGCAGATTCCAACTGAAGGAAGTGGTCCCTGAAATAATCTGGAACTGAGTGATATGGTCTTTAGAGGTGATAACCAGCACTTCGACTTGGGTTTGGAAATGTCAGAGTCGTATTGCTGCAAGCAGAAAGATTGCCCTTTTTCATAACTTGGGTTAGAATGCAACTGAGCTAGATAAGCATAAGCACAGCTGCAAAACATGAGTGCTGAGATGATTTTAGAGTGATGGCAAAAGCATGTGGAGGTACCCTATATTAGCAGGAGGATGAATAATGACTTTCATCATTCTGTTTGCCTTCTGATTTATTTGTGTGCTTGTTCACTACTTTTAGCAACAGATATGACTGGTTGATTCACTCAGGCTTTCTCTGAAGCATAGAGATCTTATTAATATTAAAAGGAAAGTTCAGAAGAAAGAAAACATAATCTTTTGGGGAGGGGAGAGTCATCCGAAAACTTATTTCATTGTTATGTAATTCTATACATGTAAGATCATATACTGTAATGTTGAAGAAGCCAGTATCTTATTTTGAATGGTCCTGCCTTTTACTCTAAAATGATTGTCACTCAACCATCTGAATTCATTGTATAAGGAAACAAGGAGGATCTGCAATAAATGGTTGCCCTTAATCCCATGAAATCACTAAAGTAATTTAAATTTCAGTGAGGGCTGAACTGCCTTAATTTGAATTCAAGTAGTAGCTATGCACTGAAAATGCATGGAATTACCTCATGATGGTTGCATTTGTGCATTGAAAAGAACTTTTGTAAAACAAAAAGGTGCATAGTCATGATCAGCACAACTAAGGGCTGAATTCGGACTTTCCAATGCCACTGGTCAAGCTTGATTCTGTTGTTTACTCTGACAATGGCTCTCCAAGGATTCACAACTAGAACCTTTCTGCTCTCCGAGGTCCCTCTCCTCCCACTTCCTTGCAGATACAGTATTATAAGGTGGACCTAGGATGAGTTCTTCCATTGAACAAGAGTTCCTCCTAATTCAGGCCCAGAGAAGAAAGCTAAACTGCACAGTAAGCATAAGGAGAAAAACCTATTTGTAGAAATGTGCCTTGGAGCATGTGGGGATGGTTGATCTGAACAACATATCCAAACATTATTACCTCCACTTAATGAATGACATTTAAAGAATCTTGATTTGTGCAGTGCAATCCTATACATGTTTCCTTAGAAGAAAGGCTTGCTGACTTTATCCCAGGCTGCAGCCTAAGGAGGAAAATCCCTCCACCTAATCCCCCCTCCCTTTCCGTTCTGCAGGAATGTGACATAATTATGGCTACAAAGAACACATTCTGGGCCCTTTTGTTTCTTAGGCTCCATTGTCTCACAGGGAATATTCTAACAAACTAAATACTGGATTATACAGAGAGCCATGGCTGACTTCTACCAAGAGAAAACAGTGATACACAAAACAAGAGACGTTCTTCTTGGGGCAAGTCAGCTGCACACAGAGGATGGTAGGCTAGGACGTCGAGTCTGCGTAATTTGTGGCTTTGGTGTGTTATTTGGGTCTTCCTCTTCCGTTGCATGACTGTCACAGATGTGCACAACTACACTGGGGGTGGAGTCAGTACCTGCATGCAGTTCATATTTCTCACCTGGAAGCAAAAAAAATATTATTATTATTATTATTATTATTATTATTATTATTATTATACATTTATTATAGCCAACCATAGACTCTGGTCAGCTTACACATACAAATTCAAAGGGAAAAAAACAATTTAAAACATACAACCCTGCAGGCAACCTGAACTAAACAATCAAACAGTAACAAGTCAAACCAACCAAGGGGCCCCATAAACATATCAACCCCAGGCCTGGGACCAAAATCAAGTCTTAAGTGCTTTTTGGAACCCTAGGAGAGAAGGTACTGTCCTTATCTCTGGGGGGATAGATGCTGTTCCAGAGGGTGGGGGCCACATCAGAGAAGGCACACTTCCTTAGTCCCATAAGATGACAACATTTAATAGAAGGAACCTGAAGCATACTTACTCTGCTGGAACATACTAGGTGGTAGGAACAGTTGGAGATAGGCAGTCCCTCAGGTATCCAGGCCCTCTGCCATAAAGGCTTTATAGGTAATGACCAGCACCTTGAATTGTACCCAGAAGCCGACTGGCAACCAAGGCAGCTCGGGTAGCAGTTGTGACACATGGCCATACTGGGAAGTGCCCATTACTGCTCACGCCAATGCATTTTGTATCAGCTGTAACTTCCAGATGGTGTTCAAGAGCAGTCCCATGTAGCGCACATTTGCAATAATCCAGTTGTGAGGTGACCAAGGCCTGAGTAACTGTCTGAAGGGCCTCCCACTTGAGGAAAAGGTGCAGTTGGTGCATCAGATGAACCTGTGCAAAGGCCCTCCTGGCCATAGCTGCCACCTGCACTTCAAGCAGAAGGGCCCCCAAGTTGCACAACAGTCTAGAATGAGGAAGTGCTACCCCATCCCAGACCAAGGATGGAAATATCCCCGACCCTGGGGGACCATATGGCCTCAGCCACTCAGTCTTGGTAGGATTGAGCCAAAGTCTATTCTGCCACAGTCAGACCTGAACAGCCTCCAGACACTGGGTCAGTACATCAACAGTTTTACCTGCACAGCTCGGAGTTGAGATGTACAGCTGGGTATTACCAGTGTACTGATGATACCAAATTCCAAACTGACAGACGACCTTACCCAATGGTTTCATGCAGAGGTTAAACAGGAGAGGGAACAGCATCAAGCCCCGAGGCACCCCACAAATGAGGGGCCATGGGCATGACCTTCTTCCCTCCCCTGCCCTTGGCAACACCGACTACACTGATCACTGAGGAAGGAGGTTAACTGCTGCAACAGAGCACCTCCCACTCCTAACTCCCACTCCCACAGCCCACAGAAGGATACTGTGATCAATGGCCTCCAAAGCTGCTGAGAGATCAAGGAGCACCAGGATGGATGCACCACCCCCATCCCAGCTCTGCCAAAGGTCACTAGCAAGTGTGACCAGTGCAAGCATCTCAACTGCCTTTGTAGTGGCCAAAGTGTCCGGCCCATGGGCATGTCCATGTTGCTGTGCTGGAACTGGAAATTGTTCAGGGTTGTTGTTATGATTATGATTTCCCAGTGCAGCCCACATCCTTGGTATTTCCTGATGGTCTCTCATCCAGGTACAGCCAGTTTAGATTCTTTTTGATAGTTACTGTTAGTAGGTGCTGCCACACCCTATTTATTTATTTATTTATTTATTTACCAACCAAATTTCTCCCCCGCCCATCTCCCCTCAATGGGGGAACTCTGGGCAATAATGCAGAGTCACTTGAATGAAACAAGAGTAATTAAGTTAAAGTACTACAGTATCAGAATATCAGTAAAATAACAGTGGACATTTTGACTTAAAATTATAATTTAAAAATTTCTTATGTAGAACTTTAATACGTTATAAATGACCTGAGATACCATTTGTGACCTTGGAAAGGCAGACACCAATTTACACCAATAGAAGATCTATTATTCTAAAACCAAAATCAGAGTCTGGTAGCACTTTTTCAGACTAACACAAAAAGCTTATGCCTTTTAATAAAATTAATTCATCAGAAAAGGTGCTGCCAGACTCCTGATTTTTTGCCACCATAGATTAACATAGATCTCCTCCTACAATATTGTTTACTTCTGTAAACTATGCAATGGACACACATAAATACCATGTTATACAGGAAACCCACAAGTTGCAACACATACCTATATGCTTCCAGCTTCCATCCAGAAGACACCACCAATCTATTGTCTATAGCCAGGCTCTATGCTACAGCCACATTTGTTCTGACCCACTTGACACACATGCTCAACTGATGGAATTAAAACGGGGATTCAGGAGACTGAACTACCCACCCAATGAAATGAACAGACAAATCTATACAGCCAGATCAATTCCCAAGGAGGACCTATTAAAAGCCAGACCACAGAAACAAAACAATAGAAGACCACTGGTTATCACCCACAGCTCAAGCTATTCAAACACATTGTTAATAAGCGACAGCCCATACTGGACAAGGACACTGCACTTTCTTAGGCACTGGACAGCAAGCCCATACTTGCATACAGACAACCCCCCAATCTGAAGCAGATTCTCACAAGCAACAGAAAACAACAGAACAACGATATTCACATGGGAGCCAGATCCAGCAACAAACCCAGATGTCTAGTTCGCCCCTATACACACCAACAGCACCATGACAGGTTCCAATTATTTCATGCAGAAGATCAGAGACACTTTCACATGCTCTTCCTCTAATGTGACATATGCCATCATCTGCCAGCAGTGCCCCTCTGGATTCCACATAGGACAAACAGACCAAACTTTGGACAAAGAAATTAACCCTCACCCCAATTTAAATTTTATAGTAGTCTAACCACTGTATGAATCTGATGGAGTGAGGTGCAGCTCTTTGGTCAGCCTGTGCAGAGTATAAAAAGATGAGGGAGTCCCAAACCTCACTGGAGGACTTCTGACCCAGGCTGTCTGACTGCTGCATGTAGCATCTTCTCCAAAAATCCTATCCAGTGCCCAATCAATTTGGCCTGGTGGAGGGGTGGTTTGTAAGAGTAAGTGAATGACATAATGAATAAGAATTGGCAATTGAAACTTTATAAATAAACCATTTTCTTTTATTATTTAAGTTTTGTGCCTATAGTCTCTTATCTACTGTTGTAGGAGATCCCAAACCTTTCAACTTTGGTCCCAAATGCAGCCACCCTTACGTTCCAAAGTAAAAAACAAGCCACTCTGGTTAGACCCTGGGAATTTTGTAACAGTTATCAGTGCATATTGCTACCTTCATACACTACTCCTTTTTTATTCGAAAGCTGAACTTTTGAGGAAGGAAGGAAGGAAGGAAGGAAGGAAGGAAGGAAGGAAGGAAGGAAGGAAGGAAACCATTTTCTGCAATACCACCATAGGCATGAGGGGCAACAAAGAAGAAAAAGCTAAGTAGGAGAAGAGAATGAAGAAAGGGATCCTGATATAGGGGGCTGAGAGGATGAGGAGGGAGGCAGAAAGAGTGAAAATGAAAAAAGATGGATGGAGAACAGCTACAGTATGTGCCTATGAAAAAAGAAGGGGGAGATAGGGAGCGTATGCATGAAAGAAAGGGAGTCAGGAAGGCAGGCAGAGGGAATACCAGCTCTGTCCACGCCCATGGCAGGCTTCAGCCCTCTGGTCTACTCTCATGTACCCCTCCATCAACATCCTGCAGCCCCAGAACACTCCTGATCACTCTTAAGTAACTGGAAAGAGGAATGGTGAGTCTAGCAATAATAGCAGACAGAAGCATCCATTACATCTGCCTGGCTTTCTGGCCTTCGCTTCCTAAACTTGAAAATATAAGGAATCATGAAACTGACCTGGTCCCAGTTTAGAAACAGCATAAAGGAGGTCATAATTGATGACTGGTGTATCATCAGTTTTTGGTTGCCAACCAATAGGAGGAGAGGCTGGAGGTGAGATGAGGAATTGCTTGGATGGCTGGGGTGGAGCCAAGTGGATGGCCTCTCTGTCATTCTCCAGAGCCTGGACCTTTAAAGAAATGAGGTTGGGGTTGGGGGGAAACAGACATGAGGATATTGCTCTAGGAGAGTGAGGACAGAAGAGTAAAACAGTTTTGCTCAGTCCAATACCCTCCAAATTTTGGGGACCAATTCCCAGCGGATTGTGAGTCTCAGGTTCAACTCATCTGGAAGGCCCCAGAAAGGGGAAGAAGGCTGCAGTGAAGGACAGAAAGTGGATCCACAGATAAATGCTTCTGATGCATGATACCATTTTCAGGTAGTATTGTGTCGCTGTGCTCCCCTTTCCAAAGGGATGGGCTAATGTAGCTGTCTAGGAGGCCAATGGAAACAAGCTAAATCTGTCCTTTTTGGCAGTCTGTGTTGCACTGGATTTGCAAAGAAAGCAAAGGGATGACTTTGCTCTCTGTAGGAAATCCTATAGCTCAAGGGCAGAGAAGGGTGATGTCCAAGCACCCACAAGGTTCCTTGCTTCAGCTAATTTATATATTTGATTATTTAATTCAGAAAAAGAAATGGAAATCTTACACTCTGCAAAATGGAGCAACCTCTAGCATTATCTTTATTGGCAAGAATGCCCCAGGTCCCATAAAGAGCCTATAGGCATTTTTAAACATTAAAAATGGTAGGTAGCTGCAGCCCACAGCTTTGCCTGGGATGTGCCCACTTACCTAGGAAAAAAGACAAAGATCAGCTGGAGTGGCAGTGAACATCAAGGGAGGTGGAACGTGTGAAAGGGAACCTTCACCAACTTGTATTCTGGCAAAGGATATTTTGTGACTGGCCATGCCATTATACTGAATAGGCAAAGCAACCAAATGTTCTCAGCAGTTCAAACGATGGCCATTGTCCCCTAACATTTACCTAGTCATGTTCTACATACATACCTTCCTGGTCTGGAATCAAGAATAAGCTACTGACAGGTGTTCTCTTAAAGGTAAGACTAACTGACCACACTTGAGGACCTCTGACTGGCTTTGGCATTCTGCTCTCTGATGTGCTGGTGCTTCTATGCCTTCTCCTGAGTTTTTCTTGGGTGGGTGATTGCTTCCTGATCTCCAGCCTTCAGTTGCATTTGTGGTGAAACAGCGTGGTAGGGTTCTTTTATCTTTAAATGTGTGGCTTGGTCCCTCTGGTGGTGTAGAGGGTGGATTGATACAAGTGCCATGTCTATGTGGATTGGTTAGACTATCAAAGCAATATTGCTCTGTAGTGTTGTTCAAAAGAAGAAGAGTTGTCCTTTCAGTCTGTCTGTTACCAGTGCACAGATTTTCAGCTATACCGAGATTGCCCAGCAAAAATGGGTGTGTGTTTATTTATTTATTGCACAGATTTAGAGGGCCACCCAACTCAAACAGTGTGACCCTGGGCAGCATGAATATATAAAAATCAGACCACAATGGCTCCTCTGTGTATTAAAAAGAACCCCCATGGTTTCACACTGCATGTAGGGAAAGTGGGAAACACACTAGGGCTTGAGAACAGTAAAGCTCTAAGCCACATAACTTGGTCATATTGACAGAAGTGCTTCATCACCAGCTGTATTGATTCATATTGCCTCTGTGTAAACTTGGTTGGTTGGTCCTGCAATACGGCAAGGTGAAACTGCTTTAAGTGATACCATAAGGAAGATATAGATCATAACATGACAAAGGTGGCAAAACATTGTTAAGAGTTCAGACTAGCAGGTGGCTGCTCCTTCAGCATCAATTATCTTGGGTCATTGCAAAGTCAGTCTAAAGTTAACTCTCTCTAATATTTTGGGCACTTTACCCAACTATATATACATTATTATGGTTTGTATAAGCTCCAATTTCAGTTCTGATATTAACCTGCTCAGAATTTAAATCACCTGGTCTATTCATGCGTGAAGAAAAATGCTTGTGTAAAAATGAATCTTACCTTTGCAAAGTAAAGCTTTAGTTTCTTCCCTTGGAACTGTGTTTCATGAAGTTCTGTTCTAGCATTAGCAGCAGATTTAGGGTTGTTGAAGTCAATTTTTATGCGTCGAAAACTTTTAAACAGCTGAAATGTCACACTGTCATCATAAGCACGGAACAAATTCTCAAATTTCTCCTGTAATGGTAAAAAGGTTATTTTTTTCCACTGTCCACTGTATTGAGATTTTGTTTTGTTATTTCCAGATAAAGCCAACCTTTTAGTATTTCTCAACTATGCAACTATATTACACAGGAAAACACTGTATCTCTGTAAATGCAATTTACAGAATTTAAAGAAAATAACAGTGTTGAGAGTTGAATTTTAGGACTAACATCTTTTATATACCGAAAGTCTTTCCTTTATTACCATCTTAGGCCAGAATTCATACATAAAATGTAACCATAAAAGAAAGTACATGTAGTAAAACAAAAATCAATGCATATATTAATCTGACCTTGGGAGGGGGAGGGGTACTTTACTATGATGAATCCTTGATGCTAAAAAGCCATATTTTGGAACTGTATAAGTTACCTCTGGGTTTCTGTCTTCCAGGAAGTAATGAATGTAAAATTCATTTGGGCCACTAGGCACAAAAGGACACATTTTGGTGTATTCCAATCCCTTTCTTGCAGTGATTTTACTCTTTATCACCCCAATCCCAGTACCTTCCAAGTGCTTGACAAACTTTCAGTATATTTCTCTTGCATTTCAGTATCTCAGTCACTCTCTAATTGCAACCTTTTTGCCCAAGAAACCCCACCATGTTAATTTGTCACTGATGGCATATTTGCGTACCTGCTTCCAGAAGGTCAATATTACCATCACTGAATCACAAGAAAAAGAAAGAAAAGGAAGAGGCTGAACCAGCAAGGTTTTGTTTTCTCTGGTAGCTGAGCATAAATAGCTACAGAGCCACAGAGCCCCCCAGACAGATAGGAAGGGGAAGTTGTGGTGTGGGTCAGTTGGAGCCCAGCAGATCACCAACCCTCCCAAGACACCACCGCAAGTCAGATTGAATGTCTCCATAGGAGATCTTCCATCTTTAGATGTAAAATACCATGTTCCTAACATTAACCCTAACTTGATCCAACTTCAGCCTGCCTGAGCAGTGAGTTGGCAGGGAGATGGACATTCTGTTGTGAGAACATGCCCTCCATAAATAGTGGGCTATCTTGAAGCTGGGGCAAGGAACTTGTGTGGATGACATGGTACTTTTGGTACACGGTACAGTATGGTACTTTTGTGTGTGTGGCTGTGTGCCTTCAAGTCGTTTTTGACTCCTGGAGACTGCATGGACTAGTCCCTGCAGTTTTCTTGGCAAGGTTTTTCAGAAGTGGTTTGATATTGCTGCCTTGTTAGGGCCAAGAGAGAGAGGGGGACTGGCCCAAGGTCACCCAGCTGGCTTTGTGCCTAAGGTGGGACTAGAACTCATGGTCTCCCGGTTTCTAGCCTGGTGCCTTAATTTGGTATTGTTAGTCACTCCTTAAATTTTGTTTTCTGGGTGACAAGCAATTTAAAGTTTAAAACAGTTTTAAAATACTATGTAATGAAATTTGACACTAAGTTTACATAAACATAGAGCCGCTAAACTCAGAGGGAGAGCATCATAAATCACAGCTCATAGGACTAGAAGACATTCTCATGACCATAAAAAGCACAGATACAATACGTACACAAATGGGAGCAGTGCAGCCTTCTTAATAGTGGCCATTCGCAAAACATGATGGGTGTGCCACAAAGTTTCTGACATGGGTGAGTAGATCATAGGTTCTTACCACATGATATGTATTAATAAGTTCCCCAGTGCAAGAATGTTTGCTTTGTACCTAATCATGAATAATCAGTCCAGAAGATCATTCTGTTTGTATCTCCTACTTTTCATTTCTGTCTGACTTCATTGTTTATTCTTTCCCATCTCTACCTATAGACTTCTCTCTCAATATAATCTGCCAAAGTGGGCTGTAGGGAACAAAAGCTATTATGTCAGTCTTAACATACTGCAAAGGTCTTTACTGCTCTTTCTTTAACCAACTAAACAGATCAATCAATAATAAAGCAAAGGAGGTCCTGCAGCCAGCTAAATGCAGTGAAGCCTAATTTTAATAGATTAGTTACAGGAAGGCGTTTGATCTTTCCCAGAGTGTGGTAAATCAAAGATTAAGTCATTAGAGTGATGCACATGACACAAGTGACATGACTTGCATGATGACTTCATTGCACCAATGATGCAAATTACACAAATATAATTTATAATTATGCAAATGACACATTGCATAAATACACTGATGCAAATGATGCAAATCACCACAGAATTTAATCCACTACATGTGAAATGTTCATTGCGCTGAGGACCAGAAAACGGAGGTTTCACTGTTGCAGCCAATTCTCAATCTCAACAATGTTGAGCAGTCAGTTGCTATATCTAAACATGTAGGCAATCCCTAAAACAGAGAGGAGAAATGCCAAATTGGCTGCAAAGGGTTCCAGCCTTCACAGATTTTAGGTAACTCAAAAGAGTGTGCACATTTGTTCACTTGTCCAGAACTGTTCATTAGGTGAGATGTTACAAAAGAACGGGATACGGAATAAGCAATAAAATCCAAAAATTATGCCCAAAATTTAAGCCATGAAAAGCAGTGAAAATGTATCCCAAGATAAAAGTGGGGACTGAATGCAGAGAAGGTATAAGGTGGTTTTTTGTTTGTTTTTTGTTCCTCTGAGTCAGTTTTTGACTCCTGGTGACTGCCTGGATGAGTCTCTGCAGTCTTTCTGGCAAGATTTCAGAAGTGGTTTGTCCTTGCTTGCTCCCTAGGGCTGTGAGAGAGGGACTGGCCCAAGGAGAGTTGTCAGGGTATTATATTTGACCTTTTTAAGGATATGAAGTTTTCTTCAAGGTAACGTTATTTTGCCAGGCAACTCTTTTAAACTACAAACGTATTCCAACAACTTATACTGTTGAGGCCTGTTAAGATTCATTTGTAGAACACTTGATCAAGTTCCATTAGCTTCAGATTCACACAGAAAAAGTAGGAAAGGGCAGTCTTTCCCCAACTTCTCTGTTTGCTGGAGAAAGTATTCTCTCACTGAATATAATACAGCTAGTCCTCGTATAATGACCACAGTTGGGACCAGCAACTCAGTTGTTAAGCAAAGCATTTGCTAAATGGAACCCCGACTGTGCTTATGATCTTCCTTGAGTTTTCTTTTGCTTTACAGGCCTGCGAAGGTCATAAATGCGAGGATTGGTCGCAGTTACTTTTTCATCACCATCGTAACTGAGTCAGTCACTAAATGAGGAATACCTGTAGAAGAGAATACATTAGCTGTCCTAGGTGTCTTCAGTTCTGGGAGCAGGGAGCAGGACCAGATGGGCTTAGGGATTCAAGCGATCCTAGTTGCCCTATGCCAGTTTTGGCACCTTTCCTGGACTGGGAAATCTCCTTCCTTTCCAGAGCAGAGAAGGTGAGGTGACCCTATTGTTGATGCCATAGGAGCAGGGATGACCCTAGCAAGAGTCCACAACATCAGAATGGTGGGCAGGACCAGGGATTGAAGCCCCACTCCCTTCAAACATGCATTGCACATATTGCAGGTATGCAGAAAAAGACAGGGCTTCAATTTCCTGTTCATGCTCACTATTTTGATGTCATTGACCATCTGTGAAGATACCCCTGCATAGGACGGCACCCTTAAAGCACCAAGTTTGCTAAAAGTCTAATGATAAAATCCATCCAATCCAAGGAACTGGAATTTGTAGCAGAACATTGTCCATGGTGTTGGAAAAGTATGTAAAAGCAGATTAATATGTTGCTATGCAGGACCAAGGAATTCCCCACTATGAATTCCTGGAATGGAGCAGTGGTGGCCATTCAGTTCTTATTACGGACTGGTGCAACTGATTTTAATAAGGAGCATACCATGAATAAGAAACACAAAATAATAATAATAATAATAATAATAATAATAATAATAATAATAATAATAATAATAATAATAA